ACACACACACACACACACACACAAACACACAAACACACTCATTTATGATAAAGTTAATGTTTGAGTGTGCATGTGTTTGTACGCGTGTGTGTGTGTGTGTGTGTGTGTGTGCGTATATGTGTATGCGTATGTATGTGTGTGTGTTTGTGAGTGTGTGTGTGTATTTATTGAGTATGTGTGTATGCAGAGAAGATAGATAAATAGATACATTACCTATAATATTTCTATCCAAAACATTCTACAACACCCATGTTGTCAAACTGTGTAACGTTTGATCTCCTTTGACGTTTTAGTTGTATTTGGGTGAATCTGTTAAATGATTAAACTACTTTTTTAAACGTGTGGGTGTTTTTACGTCAGCATGGAAACAAAATAATGTGGTTTTTTTGTTTTTATAATAGAGGGTTTTACGGCGCTCGCATCTGCATAAGGTCATATGAGCGCCAAGGGGTGGGTGACAACAGAGAAGTCCTTACAGGGAATCAGACTTACTCTGCTCACCTCTCTAGCTTCAACAGCACAAAGTCTGCTTCGACCATCAAGGCAACCCGGAAATAGCAGGTCACAAGAGTGACAAACATACCAAAGAAGTAAAGGAAAATGACAATAGTAAGGATTAGGAAAGAAAAGCAGCAGTTCCCTGGTGTAGATCAGGCAGAGTTATGAGCGTGACATGATGAATCAACCCATTTACAATTCTACTGTGCTTAAACTAGAAATGTCCCCCTTTAGGGAATGGCCTAAAGACACTACAGTCAGTGGCACTGCCCCCGGGGGGGGGGAGGGGAAATGATGTGATTAAGTGTAACAAAAGCGATATTGATCATTTAAAAAGAGGATGTGCTTGGCCGTGGCGTTTCCAAGGGAACCAATCAGAGGTGTGTCTAGTGTACGCTGGCTTATAAATAAAGAATCTGGTATACATAAAAATCGGAGTCAAATCGACATAATTGAACATCTGATACAAGCATTATTGAGATTGGACTATTTTAACAACAAAATTGTGTGTCATCAGGGTGAAATTAGGTTCTCGCAACAACAAAAATGAAATTAGAGAAACATAATTTTTTTCCGCCCGTTGGTCAATTTTTATCAAATATATTTTTTAACTCAGCATCTTGTATGCCCTTTTAAAACACATTTTCTCTTTCAAGGGCAACTAATATCTCAATGTCTATTCACTATCAATGGATATTTTTTTTTCCATCAAAAGCAAAACATGAACAAACGTTAAGATGATACCAACAACTTTATATGCCCCAAAACTGACAAGCGCCTGATTCCATGGCGTCGTGAGACAATTTACAGAGTACTCCTTCAAATGATTCTGCTTTTATTGGTTTGGTCTACTAATAGAGGTTTTACGGCGCTCGCAACTGCATAAGTTCATATGAGCTCCAAGGGGTGGATGCCAACACAGATGTCCTTACAGGAAATCAGGCTTACTAATAGACTAATCACTAGACTGCCCATGCAAACGACAAATTGACGTAATATGCTTCAGATACTTGGTTTTCAAATCAAACGGCAGTGTGGGCCGATAGACGGAGATGAAAGTGAAGCTGGGACTCTAATTACATTCATACTACAGAAAGGCCTCCTCTTCCTCCTCCTCACCAACATCATCACCATCATAATCACCAACATCATCATCATCATCACCATCATCATCACCATCATCATCACCATCATCACCATCATCACCATCATCATCACCATCATCACCATCATCACCATCACCATCATCACCATCACCATCATCACCATCACCATCATCATCATCATCTCCCCCTCCTCTACTCCTATTTAATCCATGTGTATAAAACAAACAAGAAACTGAGTAAAAGTGAAGTGAATTGTTAGGCTGAGTAAAAATAAGAAGCACAATAATGGTCATTTAGCGTTGTGAAAAAGTACAGACAGACAAACAGAAGAAACAGAGGGGAAAGTGATTAAGTATGATCTGTCGCCAGTGGCACACGCGGGAAGTTAGTGTAGCATGCAATAAAAATAGAGTTTGATTACAAATAAGATGGATTTCCAGGTTTAGTTTTAGTTTTAGTAGAAATTTTACGGCGCTCGCAACTGCGTAAGGTCATATGAGCGCCAAGGGGTGTATATCAACAGAGACGTCTTTACAGGGAATCTATCAAGACACCCTGGAAATAGTGGGTCACAAGAGTGTGACAAACATATAAAAGAAGAAGAGGAAAGATGACAATAGTAAGGATTAGGAAAGAAAAAGCAGCAGTTCCCTGTTGTAGATCAAGCACAGTTATGAGCGTGACATTGATGAATCAGTCCATTTACAATTTTACTGTGCATGAACGAGAAATGTCCCCCCTTTAGGAATGGCCTAAAGACACTTCAGTCGGTGCCCCATCCCATTCCTTCCTGTCGTCTGTCTTCTTGATCACCTCGGTTTTTCTCTTTGAGTTATTCGTAGCAAAGTTGTTCAAGCCATCTGAGTATGTTGGTCTTTGTTTTCTTGTGATCTTCTTTCCCTCTGTATTTCCACACAGCAGCAGTTTTCTATTGTCCATTTGATCTGGGGTGGGGTAGTGGGGTGTTATTTTTGGTAAGTCTTTTGCGGCGCTCGCAACTGCAGAAGTTCATATGAGCGCGCAGGACACCATTAGTATTTTCAGTTCCGTAAGAATTAATTTTGAATTTTTCCCGGGTGGCAACTGAAGCTTAATCTTATCCATTTTAGAACCACCAAGGGATCTTTAACGTGCACAACTTGCGCACGGAACCTCCTCGATTTTGCCCGCATCCGAGAAGGCTAGGTGTTAGCTACACTAAGATCAGGGGTGTGGCTGAAAGACAGCATTAAGGAGCCTAGGGGTAGCAGTAGAAAGGCTACAGAAAGAGTCAGGAGCCCAGAGGAGGGGAAAAGGGCGGGGCAAGGGAAAGCAGACGACAGAACATGATTACAGAGCAGGAAAAGATGTGGAAGGAGAAAATTTCAGAGTTGAAAATTTTCCGTCACTGTCATTTTTTTTGTTTTGTTTTGTTTTTTGGGGGGGGGGGTAAGTCTGTGTTTTAATTAAGTGGAGGGAAGTTTGAAGTGAATTGTTTTAGAGGGGGTTAAAGATCCCCCGGTGGTCTAAAATCGATATGAGTAGGCTTCAGCCGTCACCCGGGCAAAATTCAAAACTTCCTACAAACTGAAAAAGTTTGATGTGCCCCGCACGCTCGTATGACCTTATGCAGTTGCGAACACGGTAAAGAAAAAGACAATGTAGAAAAGCAGGACAAACTGTTTTCAGAATGACCACGGTTTCTATGCATACACAAATAATGTACTTAAGTTGGAAAATGATTTCATGTCACAAATAGTTTAATATCTGTTTATATTTCAGTCAGTTTGCACAGACAAGTAGGCCTATTACATAACTGTGAAGGGGAAAAATTCATAAAAATAGACTGATACCCAGAAGCAAGAAGCACCAAAAAGGGGGAAATGAAAACAATTATCAAAATAAATGGTTGTTCCTCTGCAATGCATTTCACATAAAATAAATAAACGTAAGGATCTTCCAATTCTCTTTTTTGAATTATTTTGCCTCTTTCAATTTACCAAAGTACAATGGCAAGTCGAAAATCAATCAGGTCTCTTTACTACCTGGGAGCTACCACTTTGAAAACACAATTATGACCAATACATATCACATACTTTCAAAATTACAAAGAATAAAAGTATCAACTTTAAATTAACATCAGTATCCATATCACCAAAAAACTAAACATAAGAATGACTCAGGAACATCACAAGAAATATATAGAGAAAAACCAGTCTGGATTATGAAATGGAAAAGTATTCATAAAGTGTATTACCGGTATTCAGGCATCCATGATAACCACCAAATAATCATAGTATAATTAAGAAAGACAGACGGTAAGGGAACAAAGAACAGAAAGATTTAAATACTTAAAGACCACGACTCTTTTCTACTTACACAAACAGTTTTAAAAAAAGAACAATAATATAATAAATAATATCATTCTGGATTCATTAAGTTTGATCGACATTCGGTATATTGTTCATTGTAATATAGCAGAGTGATTTGTCTTCTTGTGGGAGAGGGGGGGGCTATTTTCAATTTTGCATGCCTTTCAGCACAATTTCAGCTGTTTGTGGAACTAGACCTCTACCTTCAGCTTCTAGTACTTAGAGGCCGTTGCACTGGTGTACAATCTGCTACAGAAGCAATCAACGTTTTGTGCATGTGTGTTTAACTCTTTGAGTCACATATTCTGGTCTTCCGAACTGCGCTCGAAGACTCACTTTTTAAGTTAAAAAAAAAGCTAAGGTTCAATATTCTTGAAGATTTTTCAAGTCCATTTTCTTATATCTTAAACTTTAACTCCTTATCTCCGGCAAGCTGCTCCCAGCCGCTCGCCGTCAGAACGGCGGTGCTGATGAGCTGCTGGCAGCGACTCCTGAACATTCCTTCACGACGACTTCGATTTGAATTACTTTTTTTTACCGGGAATTCATCATTACAAGAAGGACTATCAAAGCAGGTTCTCTCGTTTCGATTTAATTACCAATTTAATTATATGTTACTTTTAGATTTCGTACCAAAAGAGGGCCTT